ATGTGCTACACATAGGTAGTAATTCAAACTAGCGCTCAGTTTTCATCCTGTGTCATATCACAGGATCCTTACAATGTCCTGGTGAGTAAAAAGATCAGATATCATTATTATCCTCGTTTTAGGGGAGAACTCTAAGGCAGAGTAATTAAAAAAAAAATTCTCAAAGTCACAAAGAAAATAAGAACCATGCTTAGAGTTTTGGATTTCACGTTCAGCTCTTTGGTTGCTTATTTTGTACCATAATCCGGTGGTCCCTCTAGTTTACTGACGCAAATAAGGTAGTCACGAAAGTAGTGTTGGAACCCAGGAACTGGGGTGGGGGTGGGGTGCAGTGTTGGGGTGCGGGAGAAGGGGAAAGAGTAGTTTCAGGAAAAGCAGCTTTCTTCCGATTGTTGAGGACCAATGAAATTAAACTCCGTAAAATAGCTTCATGGCCATCTTTTCTAACAGATAGAATGTCAGTGCATTTTAACATGACATTCTTCCTTATAAACAACTTCTTCTAGTTTATTTTCGAACGTAAACAGTTCATTTTAGACAACACAGACCACAGTTGGGAACACATACAGATTCTATGTAAGTCTTTTCTTTTAGACTCGAAGCCAATACGGACTTAAGTTTAAACAAGATGGTGGCTAGGATGGGACCGCTCTGTCTTACGCGGTGAAACTCTATGGCATAGCAGGACGTACGGTTAAGAGAAGTCACGCTGAGATGAGAGTTAGCCTGACCATACAAGTACGCTATGGAGAGGCCGAAAGCGATCCCTTGCGCATGTGTACACCTGGAAGACCTGAATTGCAAGACAATAAGAACAACCCATACGGGAAGTTTCCATAAATGCGTGCTTCGTATTAAATCCCGTTAAATCTGAAGTTGGGCGTTTCCTAAAACGCATGCGTTCTAAGAGACAAGCGAAACAGTGGCGTGGTCTTTTTAACGTACGGCGTACAGAAGACGTCTGAGGTGGAAGGGGTTCCTCAGTACCCATGCGCTGCGCGGCCGAGGCGTTTCTTAGAGAGGGTGTGGAGCGCAGAGTTCTTTATTGCGCAGGCGCACAGACTGCCGGTAAAGCCGGAGATTTATCAGAGGGAGGGAAGAGGAGGATGAAGTGATTAAAAACCGGTTACGCATGCGCGTTGCTGACTGGTTAGGAGCATTTAGGATTTGTGAGAGGCGGGGTCACGTATGCACGTCATTGAATGGGTGGGTGGGAGAGAGGGTGGAGAGGGGGTCTCTGCGCTTGCGCAGTGCGTGGGTGGAGGGCGGAGGAGACAGATAGCACGCTTGCGCGACTGTCATAGGGCTGCTTGGTTGGTCAGTGGGGAGTCGGCGCCTGCGTACTAAGACCCGTGTGCAGCAGCGGCGGCGGCGGTAGAGGCGGCGGCGGCGGCGGCGGTAGCGGGCTCGGAGGCAGCGGTTGGACTCGCGGCGAGCGGACGGGGTCGAGTCAGTGCGTTCGCGCGAGGTGAGAGCGGACAGGGCGCGCGTGCGCGGAACCTTGGCTTGAGTCTGGGAGGAGATGGAACTGCTCGGGGGTCGGGGAGGGGGCAGAGAGGAGCGGTGGCCTCCGCCGCACTGTCTTCGGTGTGGGAGCGGCGCGAGGTGCGGAGAAATGCGGGCTTGCTCCCGGGTTGGTGCGCGGGGTGGCGGTTGGGGCCAGCTGGGTGACGTTGGGACGACGCAGGGCGGGGACGGCGAGCCGCGAGGCCGCCACGCGGGAGAGGCCGCCGGGCGGCCACGCCGGTGCGAGGGCCGGGGACTGGATCGGCCCACCAGGACAAGGGTACCCGTGCCGTTGAGCACAGGGCGCCGCGCGGCCACGTGAGGTGGGGGAGGGGACGACTCGGTGAGAGGGCATGTGGGGGGGTTGGTGGCCGGCGAGGGGGAGGGGAGACGGCGTGGCTCCGGCCCCGGCGGGGCCTTTGAGAAGGGGGCAGCCGCGGCACCGGAAGTGCCCCCTATGGGAGGCTGCCCTCGGGGTCGGAGGCCACATGGCTGAATGTGGACGGGGGCCACATGGCAGTGCAGGACCCCTCCCCTCCCCCCAGGTCCGGGCCACCGGAAGCCCTAGACGGGCACATGGTGGGCGGGAGCCGGCAACCCCCAGCACGGGGAGGGAGGGCCTCGCGGTTGCTTAAAGAAACCTGGAATTTGGGGGAGTGGGAGTAGCTCGAGGCCTGTGTCCTGACCAGCGTGAAGAGCAGCTGCGGGCATATGTTAGCGCTCTCCCACCTCATGGGCTCTTGGACGCTGCTCTTCCAGTTCTCATGTGAAATAAGGCAGCCAGTCAAGTGTAAGTGGCAGTCCGATTTGGGATACCCGAGAAATGGGGAAACTGGGAGCGATTGGACAGTCGCCCAAGTTCTCTGCTTCTGTCGGCAGCGCGTTCAAGTTATGGACAGATGTGTTTCCCACGGTGCTATGTGGTCTTCACCTTGTCACTGTCTTCCCTTGAGTCTCTAATTTGGGAGTTTATCGAATTTGAGAGGCCCTAACTTTAGTGGTCTAGTATAATTACTACAACTTTTTACTACCAATCTTTTGCTTTCATTTTATTGTCATTCTCCACCCCCCACTTTCTACTGACTGTTCAGGCCGGGCCTGAAAAGCCGACAGGACCAGTGCATCCTGGGAAAGTGGGAGGGCCTTCAAGGGGAGACTGGGTGCCTGGGTTCCCTCCGGGAACTGAGATCGCTGTATTTGGCAGGAGAATTGGTTAGGAAGCCAACTCTTTCCTTTCTCCTCTGCTGCATCTGTAGATGCATGTTGGGGAGGTGGGAATCCCCAATAGAGGCCTTGTGGTTTCCTGTACCAGTGACTGGCTGGGGTGTGGATGGGGTGTGAGTGTGTGTGGGGTAACAGATGGGTGGGGCCCTGTCTTCTGGTCTCCACCCCCCCCATTAGCCCCGCCCTTTTGCTGGCTCATAGCTGCTCACCTAATTATAGCTCTGGTTATATGTGTAGGAGAAGGGTGGGTGATTTCGGTAACACCTGAGTCCTCCCCCTCCCAGGAATTAGACTTTTGCCCATCTTTGAAATTTGGTATTCTAACCCTTAGAATCTTTCTATTTCAAACTACTATAGCTTTCATTTTGGGGTGAATTCAGCTATCCCATCTTCCAGCAGTTCTAGGTATTTGTGATTCCAATCCATATTTAACTCAGGAACTTGGACTGTATTTTAGGTTGGGTAAGGTAATAAAAAGGAGCCCTGGTGGTACAGTGGTCAAAGCATTCCGCTGATAGGCAATAGATTGGTGGTTGGAATCCACCAGCTTTCCAAAAGAAATATGTGCGGCTGTCTTGGATATGTATTTACGGTCTTGGAAACTATTGTGCAGGGTCTTAAATCTGAATTTACTTGATGGCAATGAGTTTGGTTTGGGGTTTGAAGTAATAGAGGGTTAGGGGAAATGAAGCAGTGTCCGTGAAGTAATAGAGGGTTAGGGGAAATGAAGCAGTGTCCGGAAAGGACTGGTATAGGTTGGAGGTCCTGTTATCCTCTGTCTTCACTGACCCTAGTTCTCTTCTTGATTTCAGTTGGAATCGAAGCCTTTTAAAATGGCAGATGATTTGGACTTCGAGACAGGAGATGCAGGGGCCTCAGCCACCTTCCCAATGCAGTGCTCAGCATTACGGAAGAATGGTTTTGTGGTGCTCAAAGGCCGGCCATGTAAGATTGTCGAAATGTCTACTTCCAAGACTGGCAAGCATGGCCATGCAAAGGTTAGAATTTCACGTCTCCACATTTGCCTTCCCCCCACCTCCCATGTGTATGGGATGTCCAGCAATAAGCTATCAACAGTCCTGGCCCTCTGCCTCCTTTTAGCATTTTACTAATTCCTTTTTTCTGCATTCAGTCCTTATTTCCATTCCAAGTCTTTAGCCTCTTCCATGCTTAAATTCTCTGCTTAAACCATTTGCTGGTAATCTGCCTCAATTTTCATATCTGTTATCCCGCTAATTTATGCCTCTCTGACTGGTTCTCCTTTCTGGTGTCCTGGATTTTAGTTTCTCTGTCCCTTGTTTCCTAGATCAGCTTTCCCTTTAGATGGATCTCTCATAGGGTTAACAAACTGCTTCTACCAGTATCCTCAAATTCCTTGCCTTCATTTTACTTTCTTGGTTCTTATCATTTGTTGCTAGTATATCCCTTGTCACCTTAGATTTCTTCTCTTATCCTTCCTCAAAAGAATATCCCAACTTGGTTTATCCTTGTTGGATTTCTTATTCTGTTCTCTAATCGTTGTTTTTCATCTTCTGTTGACTTGGTATTCGTCCTGTGATGCTCCCTAATTCCTAGATCCCTGCTTGGTGTTTTTTGTCTCCTGTATTTTCCAATCGAATAATACAAGTCCATTTTTTCTTCTGCTTTCTCCTCTTGTTTCTTCATCTTTCCTCAGCTCATTTAGTCAGCTGTCCAGAAAATCCTTTCCTTTTACCTAGACTCCTACTTCCTGGGCTCTCTTAGCATCTAGTTCATTGAAGCTACATTCACTTTTGCTATCAATCCTTTCTTAAGGTGGGAAGGTTTGTTTCAGGCTTTTTAAAGAGGCTTTAGTGTTTCTTTCCTGGATTGGTTCTATTCCAACTCTCCTTTGTCCTGACATCCCAGTCTGATTTCTCTCCAGCCAGGGACACCTTGAGTCTGTTTCTTCCTAGAGTTCGGTTTTATCTTTGATGTCATACATACATACATACAGGTCCACCTGGTTGGCATTGACATCTTTACTGGGAAGAAATACGAAGATATCTGCCCCTCAACTCATAATATGGATGTTCCCAACATCAAAAGAAATGACTTCCAGGTATGTAGCTGACCTTGGGTTAGTGGTTTCCTAGGACTGAGGGTGGGGTGGGGAGATAGAATCAAAGGGGCTGGGAGAGGGGAAAAGAAAAACCACATGAGGAAGAGGAGGGTATTTGGTATTAGCTGTTTGCTGCCACCCTAGTTTGCACCTAAGACACTTTTGTCTTCAAACTATCTGGACTTTCCTTCAGCTTCCTTCCTTATCTGCCCCCAGCTGATTGGCATCCAGGATGGCTACCTATCACTGCTCCAGGACAGTGGGGAGGTGCGGGAGGACCTACGTCTTCCTGACGGAGACCTTGGCAAGGAGATTGAGCAGAAGTATGACTGTGGAGAAGAGATCTTGGTATGGTATACCTTTACTCCCTCACTCCCTCCCTTTTGTTTGACCAGCTTCTTTCATTCTGCTGCTTCCTGAACTTGGGCACCTACTGAGTAGCCCTCTTACTCCCCCAGATCACAGTGCTGTCTGCCATGACAGAGGAGGCAGCTGTTGCAATCAAGGCCATGGCAAAATAACTGGCTCCCAGGTAAGCAAGCATGATGACCCCTCTCATAAACTTTGTTGTTCCCCTCAAAAACTTTTAATGGTCCAGGGTTTATGGTGCCCTAGCCTCAGCCTGTTTTCTCTATCCTGTGTTGGTCATGTTGTCATATTTTCCCTGGTTTATCTCTTACTCAGGGTAGCAGTGGCAGCAGCAGTGATCCTGGAGCCTGCAGAGGCCCCTCCCCCCAGCCTGGCCCAGCTCTGGCCTGGCCCTTGGCTGGACTCTCCTACATGATTTATTTGATGTTTTATTTTGGTTTCTCTTCCTCTCTGCCCTACTCCTCCAATCTTGTCGGGGACCCCCCACCCACCCCCCTGCTCCCCTTGGCCAGGATGAGCAATGGCATTGGTGAAGCTGCCCTCCTTTTTCTCCCCTCGCACTACAGCCCTAGATGGGGAAAGGGGCGGGTGCTGCTTGTGGTTTTGTTTTTTGTGTTTTGTTTTTGTTTTGTTTTTTTAATTCAGTCTGGAATCAGAACGCTATGGATTCTGGTGAATGGTCCTCTGCCCTTCTCTCTTAACCCTGGTCTGGTCCCCTGTTCTCTGTAGCCCCTTGCCCCAAACACCACCCCCACAGACTGGGGACCAGCCCGCTCCCCTGCCTGTATCTCTCCCCAAGCCCCTTTAGATGGGGAGGGAAGAGGAGGAGAGGGGAGGGGACCTGCCCCCTCCTCAGGCATCTGGGAGGACCCTCTCCCCGACACATTTGTTAAATCAAACCTGAATAAAACAAGTTTAATATGAAGTCTCCAACTCATTTCTTCTTTGGGAATTTGAGACAAATGGGTATTTGTTGTCTAGAATGTATAAAGGGACTTTGAAAACTTCAGTGGGAGAAACAACTTTTGAAGCTACCTCATATATTTGGAAGACAGAAATACTGAGTTGTTTTTTGCAAACCACTGTCCCAATGACCTGCTCTGGTCCTACCAGTCAGCTGCCTCTCCTCCCCCAGGCAGCCCTGGCCTGTTCAAGACAGACGGGTGGGAGGCAACACAAACAGAGCAGCCGGGGGCAGTGACAGGTAGATTTTATTGGTCTGAGACAAACACAGATAGGGAGCCCTCACCCAAGGTGAGGTTGAAGATAAAATCTGATGGTCATTTGTGGTAGAAACGTGGGTTCTGGCTGTGCTGGATGAAAGGAAGCCGGGGGCCAGGCTGACTGGTAGCTGCAAAGCCCGACTGGTAGTGGTAATGATAGGTAATTTTGTCAGTGTGTACTTTACACTCTAATAACCAACCCCCCAAAAAAACCCAGGGGATGGATGGGGGCTACCACTCAACCTACCCAATCCAGTCTTCCTGGTAGGGTAAAGATTTTGACCATTTGACAACCATCTCACCTTTCCTGTTGGCTGCATCTGCACAGGGAGCTGGGGAGATGCAAGGAGTCCAGGGGCTGGGTGCAGAGCCTGTGGGTGCATAGGGCGCAGGGAGGACTACAAGAGAACAGAGTTGGGACTTGCAGCCTCTGGGTGTCCCCTTGGCATAGTCCTTACCCTTGTCTCCAAGTCTCCACACTTACTGAGTCTGAGAAGCCAGTCTGCTGGTTAGCATGTTCCATCTGCTTTTGTAAGGACAGGGCACCCCCAGGCTGGAGAAACCCTAGAAAGGCAAGAGAAATTTGTAAAATGAATAGAGAATAGGACAGGAACAAAGGGAGGACCCAAGTTATCTATTACCTGTCTGGGTGGGCTGAAAGTGGCCATGTACAGCATAGGGCTGTGGCTGTGGCTGAGACAGGTACTGCACTGCAGGAAATGCTGAAGGTGCTGAGAAAAGCAGGCCACAGTCATTAGAACCCCTTTTACTTTAACACTCCCTCAAAACCTCAAAAGCAAATCTCTTTCACCACTCACCTCTGAGCTGCTGGCTAGGGCTGTAAGCTGGCTGTGTGGGCCCATAGTGAGGTGGGGGCTGAGCAGTCCCATAGGCACCTCCTGGGCTGCCTTGGAATTGCCCGTGCTCTGGGGTCCCTGCAAAAGCAGCTGAGCCCACGTAGTGCCGGGTCTAAGGAGGGGGAGAGTAAGAACTCATTGCCTGTCAGATACTTGAACGTAGACATTAATCTCTGTAGGCCCCATTTTCCCCAATTCATTCATGATTTCAATATAATGAATAGACACCCAACCCTATTCCACTTACAGTAAGTACTTGAGGCCCAAACATCTGTTTAGCTCTGTCAGCTGCCATGAGAGTGCCTGGGCGATTGTGTCCACCAGGGCTCCCTAGAAAGGGACAAGGGCTTCATGATGCTGAAATCGCAGGTTGCAAACGGACAAAGAAGTTTCATTCTGTCCCTTGATTTCTTTGATCCTCACCCTGCATGCTGAGAAGGTGTGTTCCTGTGTGAACTGTCAGGCTCTGCTGGTACGCAGCTGATGTCAGAGTGGTCAGGTCACTGGAGTGAAAGGCAAGGCTCGTCAAAGACAAGTGTCCCTTGTTATTAAGCACTGATCTTGGTAACCTGATCCCAGTTCCACTTTCCTACTAATTTTATTGTAGCTCTCAGGACCCACCTCTGCTCCTTTCGCCTCCGTTTTTCTTCCTCGTGTAAGACTTTCTTGAGCTGCAAGAAAAGTTGGTGCTTCTCTTCCTGTAGAGCCAAAAGCTTCTCCTGCAACTTCAGAATCTGGAAGTGGAGAATAGAAATGAAGGAGGCAGGAAAAAATCAGAACTGGGAGGAGAGATCAAGGGAATGCTTACTTGTTCCTTAGTTTCCTCTAGTGACATTCTCTCTTCCATCTCCTTTTTCTTTCTCCTTTCCTGCTCTTCCTTCATCTTCTGTTCCATCATCTTGTCCACCTCTTCTTCCTCTGGAGGAAGAGTCGAACAGAAGGGGGAAGCGGCAGGGTGGTTAAAATAGAAAGACGTTGAGAGCCCGGAGAAACCGGTTATGCCAACGTTAGAGTATGCTCTTTCCCTCTTGGGGGTAGAAGTTTCCCCACCGCTGCCATAGGGGGCAGGCAGAGGAAGGGTTTATTTATTAGGTGCTCTCCAAGGTCCTTCCCAGCTCAAAGGTTTTGGAGCATAGACCCGACGTCTCGACACAGTAGGGCTGGCTATCCCTCCTCCAGTCTTTGCTGCCAGCACACCGGTATGCGCAGGGTGATGGCAGCTCTGCGTTGGGGATGCCTTCCTGAGCAGCGCGCCCGTCCGCTTTAGCCCCAGCTTACCCTGCCGCTTGCGCTCCCGCTCCATCATGATGTGCCGATGCAGCGCCCTGGCCATGGCGTTGGAAAGCTTGGGGCGCTCCAGGAGCGCGGGCATGGTGTTGCCGGGGTGGCTCGGGCCGTGGGCGCCCGGCTCTGTCACTGACTGCCAGACCCCGGACTAGGCCTGCGGGAAGTCGGGCGCTCAGAAAGCCGCGCCCGGCAGCGGGGAAGTCCGCCCGCTCGCCGCCCCGGTCACGTGTCTGGACAGCCCGGGAGCACCTGCGGCTTAACCGCAGGCGCGGCTGGGGGCTCTAGCCTCGGCGTTCCCGGCCCCTCCTCGCCAGGCAGCCCCAGACGACGGCCCCTCCCTACCCGCCTGCTCTCCGCTGGCTCCGCGGCCTCCTTCGCGCCTCAGCCAATTGCGTCACATCCAGCAACAAGAACTTCTTCCGGTGTCAAGAATGCAGCCGGCCGTGCGGATTGGATGAAGAGGAACAAGCGGAGATGCCGTGACGGGCACCCGTGACGTCCAAGCCCCTTCGCCAGAGCTCCTCGCTAGCCGATCCCTGGCTGAGCTGCCAGCCAGGTGCATTGTGAAACGCTCTCATCATTACAAACGCCCGGAGCCTCCTTTACTCTGCGAGGCAAGGCCCGGTGCAGTGCTGGCAGCCCTGGGGTCAGGGGCTCCTCGGGGAGGGAGCGAAACAGAGAGGCGGAGGCGGAGGCTCTGAGACGGTGTTTATTGGCTCCTTAGAAATCAAGTCTGTAACAACTGTACAGAGGGCCCCTATGTTCCCAAGCCCTCCCTTTCCCACTCCCGCCCGATGACCCCCGGAAAAAGCAGCTTCATATGGGGCACAGGGAGAGACTCCTCTGGGATTCACAGTAACCAGAAAAAAACAAAAACAACGGAAATAAGTTAAGTGATATGGGAAGGGAAATGATAGGAGTCTTGTTCCCCAAATCAGTGCATTAAGAGGGGCCCTCAGGGCCTGGACTGGGCTCCCCATAAGTCCCCTCACATCAGAGGGAAGTTCTGGGCCCTTGGGCATGGAGATGTGCTCCACTTCCCATCTAAATCCGAACTTGCCTACATGATGCTGCACATCTGCCAAGATTGAGCACCGTGCATGCCGTGGGTCATTGGAATAAGGTGGAGGCAGTCATCACTCAAGAGTCCATGGGCCCAGGGCCCAGCTGTGCTTGTAGTAGTGGGGTCTGACCCCTCATTCCACCCGTACCAGCAGGGCATAGAGAAGTGTGGCTCCCTTTTCCTTGGTTACCCACTCCAGTTCAGCTGGGCTGAAATGAGGGTCCGGAGGCTCTCGGAGGGAAGCAGAGGGGGGCCCAGGGGTGTAGGAGCCTGGGCGCACACACACCTGGAATGCCACCTGGGCCTGGTGCGTCCGCTGGGATTTGGGGTCCCAGAATCTGTCAGGCAAGAGAAACGGGAATGAAACCTCTGGCCGCCAACTCAACGTCTGTGCATTCAGCTCCAACCACATTGGACAGAAGTGACTTCTGGATGTCAGAAGAGACTCTGAAACTTACTCTTCAATGTAGAGATGCTAAAGCAAATGGTAGAAGTGAGAAGGTACAAGACCTGAATAGAAAATTCAAAAGGTAACTTGTGAAGACAAAGTCAAATATTATAACGAAATATGCAAAGACCTGGAGTTAGAAAACCAAAAGAGAAGAATACGCTCAGCATTTCTCAAGCTGTGGGAACTGAAGAAAAAATTCTAGCCTCACAGTATTGAAGGAGTCTATGGGCAAAATACTGAATGATGCAGAAAGCATCAAAAGAAGATGGAAGGAATACAGAGTCACTGTACCAAAAAGAAATGGTTGTTGTTCAACCATTTCAAGAGGTAGAATATGATCAAGATTCAATGATCTTGAAGGAAGAAGTTCAAGATGCAATAAAGGCATTGGCAAAAGAACAAGGCACATGGAATTCATGTAATACAAACTGAAAGCTTTGAACAAACTGGTGAGGCACTGGAGGCACTCCCTCATTTATGCCAAGACATTTGGAAGGCAGCTATCTGGCCAGGAAGAGATTCATATTTGTACCCATTCCAAAGAGAGGTTACTCAATGGAATGTGGAAATCATCGGACAGTATCAATGATATCAAGATAATACAAAAATGGCTGCAACTGTACAGGGTTGCTATGAGTCAGAATCGACTCGACAGCACTTAACAACAACAACATACATTAACAAAAAACTTCCACAGGTTCAAACCAGATTTGGAAAAGGAAGTGGAATGAAGGATACCACTTCCGATGTCAGATGGATCTTAGATGAAAGCAGAGAATACCAGAAAGATGTTTACCTGTGCTTTATTGACTACACAAAGGTTTTCAATTGTGTGGATCATGACAAACTATGTACAACATTGTGAAGTATGAGTATTCCGGAACACTTAATTGTGCTCATGAGGAACTTAGACCAATGTAGACCAAGAGGCAGTTGTTCAAACAGAACAAGGGAATAGCAAATCATTTAAAATTAGGAAAGGTGTGCGCCAGGGTTGTATTCTTTTACCATACTTATTCAATATATATGCTGAGCACATAATATGAGAAGCTGGATTATTTGAAGAAGACTGTAGCATCAGGATAGGAGGAAGATTCATTAACCTGAGATTATGCAGATGATACAACCTTCCTTGCTGGGAGTGAAGACTTACGACACTTACTGATGAAGATCAAAGACCATAGCCTTTGGTATTAGTTGCATCTCAATGTAAAGAAAACCAATCCTCACCACTGGACCAATTAACAACATCCATATAAATGGAGAAAAGATTGAAATAGTCAAAGACTTTATTTTGCTCAGATCAACCAACAACAAGAAGAAGTAGCAGTCAAGAAATCAAATGATGTACCTGCATTGGGTAAATCTGCACAAGACCCCTTTAAAGTGTTGAACACCAAAGATGTCAATTTGAGGACCAAGGTGCACCTGACCCAAGCCATGGTATTTTCAATAACCTCATATGCATGCGAACGCTGGGCAGTGAATAAGGAAGACCATAGAAGAATTGATGCATTTGAGCTACGATGTTGAAGGAAAATATTGACAATACTGGGGGCTGCCAAAAGAACAAACAGATCTGAGTTGGAAGAAGTCCAGCCAGAGTGCTCCTTGGAAGCCAGGATGGCCGGACTTCGTGTCTCATATTTCCAATATATTGTCAGGAGGGACCAGTCCCTGGAGAAGGATACTGTATTTGGTAAAGTGGAGAGTTGGAGAAAAAGACCAAGACCCTCAACGAGATGGACTGGCACAGCAGCAGCAGCAATGGGCTCAGGTGTAGCAACAATTGTGACGTTGGCCCAGAACCAGGCAGGGTTTTGCTGAAATCTCACCTTTTCAATGATACTACCCCAACTGCACTTTTGGTCCACTTCATCCCACTCAACTTTTTCTTTTTGCCATAGTGTAATGATCACCTTTAAAATTACTAAATAGTTATTATACATAAATGCAATCTGAAGAGAGAATGACAAAGTCCACAAGAGAAGAGACTGAGGAACTGAGCAAGACAGTGAGAAACCAGAACCTAAGCAAACCCACTGCACAGAACACAGTCCAACTGCTCCTTAGAGTTTCTGAGAGTGTGACTCTTTACAGGAACAGCTTTATCTTTGTCCCGCACAGCACCTGTGGAGTTTGAACCGCCAACCTTGTGGTTAGCAGTCCAACATATAACTCACTATGCCACCAGGGCTCCTTAAGGTGAGGAAAGGAGAGGACCAATCATGAAGACCAAGTGTCCCTGGGGCTCCCTCTTGGTCTGACCCACCATCTCTCCCGCGTACTCACTGCACTTTGGATGCCAGGATCTCAGCCCCAGCATATTGAAGGGAGGGGGAAAGCAGTACTGGAGGGGGTTGCTCCTCCCGAGGCGGTGCGCAGTTCTCCCCAGGCTCCTCAAACCCCACTCCAGGTTCACCCTTCAAGGGCCGGCAGCTCAGGATGGAGGTAGTGCCTGTGGGGACCACTGGGTCAGGGCAGCCCTTTTCACCCCTGTGGCCCACAGGTCCAGCCTGCCCCCCATGTCCATCTGCTCCAAGTACCTGCTCCCAGCTCCCCTCGATCCAACACCCTGCGTATAGCTGCCACATTGCTTCCATGATAAGCCATATGCCACTTCTTGGTTAGTGTCCCAGCCTCCAGGTGAGGGTTCACCCTAGGAGGTGGACAGACAGGGCAGAGTAACGATTACTGGCTCCCCAAGGCCATCGTAAGACAGGAAGAGCTACACTTCTTCACTGTACCCTCTTGGACCTAGTTTTCTTTTTCAAGGTGCAAAAAAGACCCCAAACTAAATAAAGGGGCTGCATGATCCTACCCACAAGTACCTGAGGTTGAATCTGCACCAGCCAAAAGGCAGGGCATATTCCCGGGGGGGCTCTCCTCGGCGCCTATGAGGCTCATCCCCTCGAAGCTTCCGGCAAGACTCACAGTAGCACAGGCTACGCTTGGGTGGAGGCATGAAGAAGTCCTCTGTGGATGGGTGAGTGGCAGGCTTGAGGCTGTAGCACCCACTCTGGGCCCCCACCATGTCTCCAGGGGCCTGGGCATGGCCCCGGACTGACCTGGCAATGTGGTAGATTCTGACAAGGACTGGGGACTCACCAGGAAGCAGCAACAACTCTTGGAAACGGGAGCAGAGGGCATGGTACTCGCAGCTCTTCAGAGGGCTTGCAGCTGGCGGTGGCCCCCAGCAGACACTCTCCTTGATACCTGAGAGCAGAGGTGAAACTGGTCACCGGAGCTGGGGCTACAAAGTAGGGGGAATGGGTGCCAAAGCCTCATCCCTCCAAGCTGCCTCACCATCCACCATGTCAGCTTTCTCCATGTCCCCTTGGGTGGCAGCACTCTTGTCACAGGCAGCCCCTGGTTCAGGGCTCACGATTGTCACCTGCAGGGGAGAAGTGTGAGCAGTCCCCAAGCACACTGAGCTCTGTCTCTGACCACAGCCTGCCCCTTACTCTGAGAGTCCAGTTCCCCAAGCATCCCCCCATTGCCACTAACCTGCACACATTGTCCATAGAGGTCGACAAGCGCATGGCAGGGCTGGGGGACATCTGGCATAGCCACCCCCTGGTCTACCCCATTGACATGGAGGTGCAGCCCTCCAGAGCTATCCAGCCGCAGTCCAAGGATGGTGCCTTCAGGACACGTGTCTAGGTTTGGCCCAAATTTCTCACAGATCTGAGACGAGAGACCAGACTTCACCAGCAGCCCCTCACCCTCAGTTGCACTGTGATGCCAGTCCCTGGCCTTGCTGTCATACTGCCCCTCACTCCAGTATACACTCCCATTCCCCCAACTGTGGAATTCACAATAGCAGGACAGGAGGAGGGGTCAACCTGAAATTGATGTACACTTAATGACACTTCTGCCGTACCCACCCCAGCATAGGGCCAGGCACAGAGCATAGACCCCCTTTATTCTCGAGGTCCTATGTCCAGAACTAAGGGTCTAACTTCTCCCTTTTGTCCAGCCTATCCTGACTCAAGAGGCCTAGCCCTCTCACTTCTTTCTTGCTCCCTCCTTACCTTGAGACCATTGTGGAACACTCCACGGCCCCGCAGCAGCCAGGCTGCACGTTTGAGGGCAGAGGCGGAAGCAGGGAAGTTAAGCCTTTCTGGTGGGCAGGTGATGACCCCCAAGATAAGAGAAGATGTCCAACGTCGGCTCAGGAAGTCTATTCGCACCTGGGATAGATGACAACTACTCCCTTGAGTCCCTGGTAAGAGGCTGTCCACCTAGAGCAGGCTCCCCGTTCACCAGAGAGGGAAGACTGCATCTCCCTACACGTGGCCTGGGATGCTGCCCTGCTCACGCTTGGAAGGAACAGAAGCTGCACGTTGTTGGGCCTTGGTCTTTCTGTGTGCCTCTGCATGGACCCTCCTCATCTTGCTTTCTTTACCAGGTTAGCTTTGGCACATCCTTCAGTTTACAACAGAAAGGACCCTCTTCCTTTCCTGCTCCTACATATAGGATCAGGCATTGCCTCTGAACTCCTTCAGCCCCTCTCCACTGCCTGCCTTAGCACTCCAGAGGGTAAAACTGTGACAACTGATGTCCAATCCCCACTAGAGGGTGCGAACAAAAGCCCGGGAACTTTATCCCAGGGGTCTGCCTACCACTTTCCCTAGGAAAGGCCTTTCTTTATGAAGACTGGCCCTAGGTCACCAGCAACCGAAGGAACCAGGGGTATGGAAGCAAGGCCCACCTGGACCAGTAGCTGGGGCACCAGGGGCTGGTTGATGACCACGATGCCCTGATTGTAGCTGGCCATCCGTGTGGCTGTACGGTTCCCATTAGACAAGAGGATGTTCTTCCCATGGTTCTCCAGGAACTCAAGGGCTGGGGGCATAATGGCCACTTGATTCTGGTCCTGATGAGGAGAAGAGACTGAGGTGCTGGGTGGCTGAGGCTGTGCCTAATCCACCCCTTGGAGTTTACATTGAACTTGAGCGTAGGTCTGTCTGTCCAGGTGGTAGCCTAGGTCAGAGATACTAAAAGAGACCCGGTGTCCAGTGGCCACCAACCACCCACCCCTGAGTCCAGCAGGTTCTGCTGTAGTCTCTTACTCCTAGACCATGTTCCTCGCCCTCGTCGTCCTCCTCGCCCTCACTGCCGGTGTCTGAGCTGGGGGAAGGAGGCTGGGTGCCTTCTGGCTCCTCCAGTCTTGTGGAGCTGACAATAGATACACTCCGTACTGGCCCATACAGATCCAACACAGCCCACACATTCTGGGGGAACACAAAGAACAGAACATCAGAGGTCAACAGGAACCCTAAACCCCAATATCAAAACCCAAGGAAGGTATTAGGTCTACCTTGGCAATGCCAGTGGCTGCAGGACCCATGTCCTCTCCATCTACCAGGATGTGCATTGTGTCATCTGCCCCCCGACGGATGCCCACATGGCTCCCCACCTAGGACAGAGGTGGGACCAGGACAGATACTTAGTTCATGTCTTGTACCAACCCCACCTCCATCCCTGTCCTTAGAGGCAGCTGCTTCACCCCCAGCCTCTCGAGGTTCCGGCCATAGTTCATCTTCTGAAGCTGCCCATCACGCCTCACTTCACAGCTGGACACCATCCAGGTGGTCCTAGTCCGGAGTTCTGGCAGGGAGGGCGGTAGTCCTGGGCCACCTCCGCCCCCAGGCCCCATCTCCCCTGGAGGTAGTGTGGTCAGTCCCAGCCGGAGTGAACCTGCCCACTTCTCATCGAGCTCTTCCACTTTGACCTACAAGAGACGGGCTGCATTTGGTGACACTAGCTGGAGGCAGAGGGGACCAGTTGTCTGTGTTAACAACGCTCACATCTCCACAGCCCACCTCAAAGACTTCTTCAGCCTTGAGCTCCTTAATGCTGAAGACGAGACCATGAGCATAGCCTGCCACACGCACTGCCCTTGTGCCATCCTCTTCAAGGGTGACATTCTTGCCACAAGTACTGTGGAAGCGGTGGGCCACGCCAGCTACTGTGGAAAGAGGGCATTAGAGGAAGGGATATGAATTGACCAGCCATTTTCAATCCAGAAATTGGCACAAAACAGAGCACAGATTTCAGGTGAAACAGAAAGTGGACATAAGGTTCCATCTGCCACTACTCCTTCAGGATCTCTTGGCACTTTTTGTCACAACAGACACATTCCCTAACCTGGTATGCCACAGTTAGGTTGGATTGAATTGTGTCCTTAAAACATATGGATTGTAAATGCTAACTCTTCTATGCCTATCGTAGGAGTCCTGCTGTGGCACTGTAGGATTAGAACTGGACTGCTAATTGCAAGGTCAGTGGTTCAGACCCACCAGTTCCTCCTCAGAAATTCTATCTAGGGTAACTATGAATCAGAATCGACTCTCCAGCATGTAACAACAAATGCCTGTGTGCTGATCCCATTTGGAAATGGGCTGTCTGGGTTATGTTGATGAGGCAGGATTAGTGTAGTGTGTGTCTTGAGTCAGTCTCTTTTGAAATATAGAAGAGATGAAATAAGTAAGAGAAAAGATGAAGGAAGAGAGATGAGAAGTTGCATGAAGACTGCTCAGGAGCATGAGCTCCTAAGAGCTAAGAACCTCTCCAGAGCTGACAGAGAAAGCCTTCCTCTAGAGATGTTGTTGTTGTTAAGTGTCATCGAGTCAATTCCAACCCATAGCAACTCTGTATAGGGTTGCAAGGAGCAGCTGATGAGCTTGAACCACCAACCTTGCAGTTCAAACAACTTTGCAGCCTGATGAATTAGCCCACAGCGCCACAATCAGACTTGTAGTCTTCTAAACTGTGACAAAATAAATTTGCTTGTGAAAACCACCCACTTGCCAGGAAGCCATCAAGGCAAGCAATCAAGTCCCTTCAGGACAAACCCCACTCCAAGACTGAAACTCAATGGGAACACATGAGCAGGCGTGTAAGTTTGCTGATGACCACATTGGTCTACTGGTGAATGGAAGAGTGGGAAAGGCAGCAATGAAGAAATGGGCTGAGTTCAACCATGTTCCATAGATTCCTGTTGACCTGGAGATTAGAGGGAGAAGAGGAAGGGCTCTGAAGTGTGGTGAGACCTGGAGACACCTGAGCCCATGGACAAGGACATAGCCACGGAGGGCTATAGCTGAGAGTGAAACATCCAGCTGATACGAAGTGACGAGAGATGGACAAGAACGTCCAAACTTGCAGATAGTACCTATTTGACCTAGCCTTGATGGCTTGATGATCAGAACTCGACTATAGGAAGATAAAAAAAAAATTTCCGATTAAGGAAATGAGTACAAATTGCTACAATTTGATGAACTTGACCTATACTTATGAATGTGGTGGTAGTGGTGGTGTGTCGTGGAGTTGGTTCCGACTCACAGCGACCCTGTACAGAGTTTCTGAGGCTATAAATCTTTACAGGAGCAGAAAGCCTCATCTTTCTCCTGCGGAACAGCTGGTAGTTTCGAACTGCTGACCTTGCGGTTCGCAGCCCGATTTGTAATCACTACCCTACCAGAGCTCCTTATGGATGTAGTAGCTCAAAATGCCAACTGAGAGGGAAGGAGTCTTCATATCAAATATCAATGTTATCCCCTCTGTACACAGGGTAGATAGGGACAGGCAACTTAAGACACAGGCTACAGAAAATGAGGGGGTGAAAAAGGCATGCAGTGACTGGCTTACAAATTTTCAAGAGGGAGTTTAGTTTAAGAGTGTGCAGGGGAAGATAGAGTCCCCATTGAATAGTTTTCATCTTGTCTAGATGGGTCTGGTGAAAAGAGATGGGGATAAGATTCGTATGATTCAATAGTGAGTAACTGTTTTCTTTACTAATTGTGACTGTCACAACTGTAAAGGTGTAAGTTTTGTAACAAAAACAGGGAAGTGGTTAATCTTATAGTCCAGAAACAGGAGGACCCAAAGACCATCAAGGGAGATGAGCACAAGCAGAATGCAGGACCTTATCCAGAGAAGCAGCAACACCAGAGATGGAGGCAGAGATGAGGACATGGAGAGAGGGAGCAGCTGAGGACTCTAGCCTCATGGAAAGATTGGGACTTAGTATTGGCGGCTAGGAAGCAGACTTGAAGAATGTGCCCTTTGGTTATATATTTCTGAGTTTTTTGATGTACATTCCTCCACCTCCCCCCTCCCCCCCAAAAAAAAAAACAGAGGAAATGCAAGCAAATACTGTTGAATGATAATGTACGGAGGAGACTGTAATCATTGCAATGAAACAATGGGGTAAAGCCGATGTTCTCCCATGTAAACTATCACTCAGTTCACAATAAAATAAAAACAAAAACCACCCACTTGTCATATTTCTGCTATAGCAGCACTATGACTGAATTTGGCATCAGAATGGGGTGCTGCTCAAGAGATACCGAAAATGTGAAAGAGGTTTTGAAATTGGGTAATAGGTAGAGGCTGCAAGTTTTAAGTTATCCAGGAATAAAAACCTAGGCTGCCTTGAGAAGACTGTTGGTAGAATTATGGACATCAAAGGCAATCCTGATGAGGGCTCAGAAGTGAGAAGGGCTACTGAGAAAGTCTCTGCTGTCTTAGAGAATACATATGGTACCAGCAACACCATGTTACCAGAAGTGTGAACGTTAACTGTGTTTCTGGTGAGGTTTTAAAAGAAAATGATGAGCATGTGATTGGACAATGGAGGGTGATGGTTTTTATGCGGTAGCAAAGAACTTGTCTAAATTACGTTCAAATGTTTGGTGGAAGGCAGAACCTGCAAGCAATGAACTTGGACACCTGGCTAATGAGATTTCTAAGCAAGACCTAAAGGGGGTGCATGATTTCTCCTTGGCACTTATAGTAAAATGCGAGAATGAGATGGACTTCAAAATGAACTGTGCAAAATGAAAAAAAGGACACAGATCTTAGAATGTTGACCAAGGACACAGCTATATAATCTTTTGTTAAAGAAATTAAGCCTGTGACTGATGGTTATTGTTAAGTACTGTCAAGTCATTTCTGACTCATAGCAACCCTGCATATGGTTTCCAAGGAGTGGCTGGTGGGTTTGAACCACCGACTTTGCATTTCAATGCATTATCCTGCAGTGCTACACCAGGACTTCAAGCCTGTGATTGATGGATCTTACCAACCACCACAGCAGAAAACCCATCAGCTTAGACTGAATGGGATAGAGAAAGAACTAAAGTCTGCGTCTTAGAATTTGACAGGCACAACACAGGCCAAAGGAGCTTTATCTGTTGTCCTCCAATCAAAGAAAAGAACCATCTCTGGAGCAACATAGAGATCATCAGAACTATCAGAAGCAAGGTAAGCAGGACTGCATCAGCTTCAAAGGGTGAAGTCATGGTCTCTAGGGTTTAAAAGTTACCAACTGGGTTCTGCAGTGTGAGGATGACATTCATAAGTGCTGGTGGATAGAAATCTGCCCCAAACTGAGGGGGCAGGATGCTATGTCCAAGAGGCAGAAGAAGGAAGTCTGCCAGAGCCAAGAGGGCCACCAAGGGAACAGAGTTGCTGTCACAGTGGGCCTGGAAGGCTGATCTGAAGCCCAGGGCTAAGAGACCTCCACCTAGAATCCAGAGGGTCCCAAAGAACAGAGGACTATTTTCAACTCTCGCGAGCAAATATAAATTGTTTCAGACTTGGAGGGTGCCTACAATCCTTTCTTTCTCTTAAACCTCTTCCATTTGTAACGGAAATATCAACATTGTACCTGTTCCACTGCTGTTGGAAACAGGTAACTTGTATTTTTCATTTCACAGGCCCACAGATGAAGAGGAATTTTGCTCTCAGAAGATGATATTTTGAACTTGGAGTTGATTAAGACTTTTGGGATAATGGGATGTGGGTGAATGTGTTCTGGATATGGCAAGGATATGTGTGTGTTGGGGGGGGGTGTACAAAACATAGAATGTCATGGGGTGTCCCCCACCCCACCCCCACAATATAGGTTGCAAATCCTAACTTCTATGTCCTGTGGCAGGGGTCCTGTTGTGGTGCTTGCTATAGGTTTTAGCACTGGTCAGAGATTCAAACCCACCAGCTGCTCCTAGGAAACACTATACAAGGTCTCTGAACTGACTTGATGGCACTCAATAGCAATTACTTCAGTGGTTGTAATCCCACTTGGGAATGGGTTCTCCTTGTTATGTTAATGAGACAGGCTTAGTGTAAGGTGTGATTTTGAGCCAATCTCTTTTGAGATAAGAAAGAGTTACCAGGTAAGTGGAGAAAAAAAGATGGAGAAAGGGCGATGTCAACCTCAGATAGGGCTCCACAAAGTTCCTGGAAACCTGTAATAAGACTATGAAATTTTCCATGAACTTTCTGAAGCCCCTTTGTACATGAAGACTGTCCAGCAGCAGTAGCTCAGAAGAGATAAAGACCTTCTAGAACCAACAGAGAGATGAAGCCTTCCTGTAGAGTCAGCACCCGGAATTGTGACTCCTAGTTTCCTAAACTATAAGGAGCTCTGGTAGCATAGTGGTTATGAATCGGGCTGTGAACCGCAAGGTCAGCAGTTTGAAACTACCAGCTGCTCCGCGGGAGAAAGATGAGGCGTTCTGCTTCCGTAAAGATTTACAGCCTCGGAAACCCTGTACAGGGTTGCTATGAGTCAGAACCAACTCCACGGCACATAACAACAACAACTTTCTTAAACTATGAGAAAATAAATTGGTGTGTTAAAGTCATCTACTTATGGTATACAACTAAGATACCTAGCTTATGTTGTCCTGGTCTGTTGATGGCAGGAAAGCGTCCAGGTTCTGTGTACCAGGCATAACTGATTCCCACCCTGGCTTGTTCCCTCCCTTTAGCCTGAAGACACTACAGTCAACCTGTCTTTGAACAGCTTCCCTGTCCTATGTACAGTACACTGAGTCCCACAGGCAAATGCAGCCCTCCCTTCCTCCCTCTGAGCCAGCAGAACCTGGGGAGTGCAGGGGGAACGACTTCTCAGTGGCTGTGTTGCTTGTCGTCAGGCTGTTGTCCATCGGGCCAGTGGCACTGGTGATAGACACTTGGACACACTGACCATACAGATCCACGACTGCGTATACTTCTGGGTGGGAAAGAAGGAGTCAGAAGCCCAAAAACCTGGGGTACGGTGGGCTAAGGGTGGGCATGTTGAAAGTCACAAAGTAGTCACCTTTACCCGGAGGCAAGCCTGAGCAGGCAGCGCCCTGGTCCTGACCATTGATGAAATAGTGCAGATCACCCTTGGCAGTCCGCATCATCCCAATGCGAGCACCTGTGCCCAGCGCGTCCAGGTCGCAGCCGTAGTTGTTACGCATTGTGTTGCCGTCTTGCATGATGGCTGTGCCACTAGGGAGTAGCAGAAGGGGTGGGTAAGTTTCCCAATTTCATCCCAACTCAGGCCCCTGCCCAGTCTCTGCAGGGCAGCACCTTCTTGTGTGCCTTGGCTTAAGATCTTGATCTGGGTCAGAGACCCAATCCAATCTCCTTCATCACTGAGATCCCCTCAAATTAAAGCAAGAACTAGCCTATAAGGGGAGTCCTGGTATGGTGCTGTGGGTTAATGCGCTGGACTGCTAAGTCTGTTTGAACTGCAAGGTTAGTGGTTCAAGCTCACTAGCCGCTCCTCGGAAACCCTATACAGGGCATTGAACACCAACCCTGTAAGGAGAATTCCTGGAGTGGTGCTGTAGGATCCACACTGGACTGTGAACCCACAAGGTCAGCAGTTCAAACCTACCAGCTGTTCCTCAGAAACCCTAAACAAGGTCACTAAGAGTTGGAACTGAGTCAACTGCATTAACAACAACAACAACGCTATAAGAAAGAAGGTTGTAGCCCTTATAAAACTGAAGAGGGAGGGCTTACTATAACTGAAGAGAAGGAACAGAAAAAGCCTCCGTGGATACCAGAGACCACAAAACCCTGCCTCCCTCATCCCAGACAGTTGAGCCTAGCCCAGCCCAGCCCAGCCCAGCCCAGCCCAGCCCAGTCGTCTTCAAAAGTAGGCACCCCAACCTCAGCATCCATGTATCATAGTCGATGTCTGTCATAGTGTTGGGGAACTCAAGGTCTTCAGGTCGAATAGCAGTCACTCCTAGGAGGCAGGACCAGGTCAGGGCTGATCTCCCACCACCACCAATCCTCACCACCAACACAGAGACACCTCTCACCAGCCTCAATGGAGCCTGACCAGCGGTCCACCATCTTCTGAATGACAATTTCAAATAGCTCGCCATCCCGCAGGGCCCTAACAAGGAGCACAGAGATCAGAGAGGGCCTGCTTGGGGGGCTGAGGCTGGGCAGTAGGAAGGGAACCTGAGGTCTAGTTACTGACCGGTTGGAAATGACGATGGCGTCATTGAACTCGCTGCGACAGTTGTGGCGAAGTGCAGTGCGGCCCCCATTCGTGATGACAGCATTACTGCCATGCAGCTGGTGAAAACGCAGGTCAGAGCCCCCGATACCTGATGATGGGGAACCAGGAGACACCTGGTTGTTCCCCTCGGGGAGTGGCTCAGGGACTGCAGGCACCTCTGCAAGAGTATACACCACTCATTAGGCATACTGGTGTCCCCAAGGTCTCCCAAGGCCACCCCAACTCCCTGCCCCTGCCCAGCCCGGCCCTCACCCACGTCGTCCACAATGGTGGCCTGGGCCGCCTGGCCATAGAGATCGACGACAGCATAGACTCCCGGGGGTACATTCCAGGCAGCAGGCCCCTGGGTCATCCCATTGACAAAGAAGTGAAGAGTCCCATCCTCCCGCCGCACCACGCCCACCGTGTCCCCTGCCTTGGAAGAAGGGGGGGCTGGAGTGAGGAGTCAGGCAGAGTCCTGGCCTGGGTTAGTCCTGCACCAGCCCCCACCTCATTACCTCCCCATTGATGCCACATCATGCTACACACACTCTCCCACCTTGAGGCGGTCCAGGTTGTGCCCGTATTCATCCAGGATGGTTGTTCCATTGTGCATCACTCCGTTCCCAGTCATCATCCAGGTCCCTAAGGGGTACAAGTGGCTGGAACGTGACGGAGAAGCCAGGGTTCCCTCCTTCACTGCCTACCCCAAGCCCAGATAAAACAGCCTGCGTTTTATTGACGTCAGCTTTCTCACCTGAGCAGAACAAGAAAACTGTAGTTCAAGTCAAACACAGGCCCTGTCCACGTGGCACAATGCCGCCACTGAATGAGTTGTCACAGGTGTGACAAGTGAACTGGAGACCAATGCCAGAGCTGTGGGGACAGCTTCCTCCCTGGGACCCTACCCGGCCCTGTCCTTCTTGAGAGCTCACCAGAGCGCAGGTTGGTCATGGTGGAAGGCAACTGGAGGTAGGCAGGGTTGTGGGTGGTGACACCAATTTCAATGGAACCAGCCCATTTGTCCACCATCTTGTCGATGCGCACCTGAAACACCTCTCCATCCCGCAGGGCCCTGCTACTCAGCACCACGCCATGATTGAAGTCGTCAGTGGCACTGAGGGCAGAGAAAGTAGGCACTCAGACCCCCAAGACAGACTGAGCATGTCTAAGCTTCATCCAATGATGATACACATGCCCCAAGCCAACCAGTTTAACCTTACTCACCCTCAGAAAGTTAGTTCTTCCTTTCTGCCTATGAAATCCCAACCATCTCCTCTTGCCTCCTACTCCTCCAACCCCTGCCTGCCCCCCCAAATCCCATGAAAGCCCCTTCTGCAAGCTTCTCCCCACCCCGTGGGCCATACTGGGGCCTCAGGGCAGTGCGTCCCTCGTGGGTGATGGCTGCCTTCTGCCCACAGTTGGGGTGGAAGAGCAGGCGCTCGGGTTCTGCCTGGGCAGCAGGAGGAGCACGGCGGAGGGCACCCTCTGGGGACAGCGCCCGCAGGATGGCATTGTTCCGGCGCAGACGATCGCTATGATTGTTATTGTGGACTATGGTCACCTTCACTGCCATCCCATATAAATCCACCACACCATAAACCACTGGGGGTGTCAAAGGGGTAGCCACACCTGTGGGGGCAGAAGGCACAGGGATAGAGGAATAAGGGGGGAGGGGTAGAGAGACAGGAGGAAGAGGTCCAGACCCTGTTCTCCATCCCACCCCAGCAGCCTCCTCGGAGCTCTCCCTTACCCTGATCAATGCCATTAATGAAGAAGTGCAGGGCTGAGTTAGACTTCCTTGTGAGACCAATGTGATCACCCTCCTGTTTAAAGTAGAAAAATAACTGTGTCTGGAAGCCATCCATAGTATGGACTTACCCTGGGGACCACAAGAGTGGAGTGGTCCTGGAATAGTCCCACCACCCCATTCCACAAGAAAATTGCTCCCAAAGTTATTCAGGTAGTCTCAGACCACGCTGGAGCATAAGCAGGACAGGTCCTAGTTCCCCATTTTCTGGGTAAGACAATTACACATTTATTGAATGCTCAGTAACACGTACCATGCACTGTGTCATACCATTAAACCATCTTACAAGCACCTCAAGACAATCTATAAATTACTACAGTGAAACCTGTGAAAGCCACAACTCTAAAAAACTGCTTTGTTTTTCCAGGTCTTGCTAGTTTTCTGCCTTTGATAGGGTAAGACTTTAAAAGTCTTACCATTTTCCTATTAACTCTGTATCTTTCTCTGGCAGGCTTCCACCTTATACAAGTTCTGTTTTGTCCCCCCAGGTTTTACTGTACCAATAGTCTCATTTTAGAAATTAAGGGAGAAAAAAAACCCTAAACTAAAGTGGACAAGCTCCTAGTCTCAGGTCACCATCACAAATGGCAAGACAATAAGACGAACTGAACCAATCTGACTCTAAAATCTGAGAGCCTGACTGTTGGACAACCAACCTGCTTTCTCAGAAGAAACTTTCAGGCAAAAAACAAAGGTCACAACAGAGACCTTGATTCCAAGATCAAGACACAGAGTACCTTTGACTCCCTGGAGAGGGGCTGGAAGCTCTGGTCCATTCTCACCTGCAGCTCATCCAGGCTAAATTCACAGTACTCCCGGCGGGTACCCTTGCCATTGGTCAGGATCCCACAGCCGCTCATCATGATGGTACCTGGATGGAAACAGACACTTGGGCTAGGGGATGGGCTTCCGTCCCCTTAACCCGCAGGCTTGTGCCCTGGCCCTATCTGAATCTGGTACCTGACTGAAGGTTGGTCATGGTAGCAGGGTAGTCCAAGCTGTTGGGATTGTGGGTGGTGACACCAATCTCAATGGAGCCTGACCATTTGTCAACAAGCTTGTCAATGCGGATCTTGAATGGAGCAACAGTAGAGACAAGACAGGAAGGTAAATTACAGTGAAAGGGGAATGTAAATTACAGTGAAATTTACATTTACTGTAAGTCTTTTGATCTTCTCTGCGCCCCACCTTCCCATCATCAAGGACAGGGTGTTCCATCTTTAGCTGATTGGGCGAGGAGCCAATCAGACCCCAGGATCTTATATACCTCAAACATCTCATTGTCCCGAAGGGGGCGGTTGGTCATGACAACACCATTGTTGAATTCATCTAGGGGCCGGCGGCGCTCAGCCGTCTTATTGTTGTTGCTAAGTTTTATGAGTGTTCCACACTTCTCATGAAATAGCAGGGCGTCATTGGAGGTTAGGATGGGTGAGGTGGCAGCACAGCTAGACCCTGGTCCTTCCCCTGCCGGTGGGGAGCTCAGGTTCACATTCAGGAGCCCCCCGTTATAGGCAGACAGGATGGCGTTGCTCACCACATCAGAAAGCTCCATGCTGGCAAAGTCTACAGGACAGAGGAAGGAAATGGAAGTGAGGTTCTATTCTCTTGGGTTTGGCAAGCTCTCTGCCAGTCTCGTGTGTTCCCTCCCAAGCTCTCCCAGAGACCTTACCCTTGTCCACCTTACTTCCCACTCCCCTTCCCAGACTCTTAAAGCCCTCACCATGATGCGACTCAAGGCTGTTAGGGAACGTCTCTGGCCGGACCTGCGCTGGGGACACCATGAAGGCTGGGGACCAGGTGGGAATAAGGGGAATATGGTTTCATCTCCTGCTCCAGGGCCCACACACAAGAGATCCCCTCCTCTAGCCTCTGTTCTCCCCTTCAACTATCTAGAAGTCTGAGAGGCCCTACCCATACCCAGCCTCATTTTTCATTGTGTCTTCCCAATTCCCTCTGCCCCCATCCCTCCATTACGGGCCCCAAGCTGATATGTTCTCACCTTCATCCCCAGAGGTCCCCTGCTCAGCCAAGGCAGAATCTTCAGGGGGTGCAGAGGGCTCAAGGGGAGGCGTGGGGATGGGAGTAAGGGGGCTGAAGCCTGGCTCAGAGGGTAACACAGTTATCTGGGTGCACTTGCCATAAAGGTCCACAACAGCCCAGACTCGAGCAGGTAGGCCTGTGGCAGCCACACCGCAATCCCGCCCATTCACCCAGAGCCGCAACTCCCCAGCCACTGTGCGCTCCACACCCACACGGTCCCCTTCACCAAGCTGGTCCAGGTCCTGACCATACTCCTCCAGCACAGAGCGTCCATCCCTCAGCACTGAGCAGCCCGACACTACCCATGAGCCCCCCTTCAGTCCCGTAGCACTGCTTGGGAAGTCCAGGACACTGGGGTCCAGTGCTGTCACCCCGATCTCAATGGAGCCACTCCAGGAGTTGACCTGTGATAGGAATGAGGATGGAGAAAAACGCAAGATGGGACACCTGTGGCTCTCTTACCACCAGGAAGCCCCATTCATCCTTCTCATCCCTTGGACAACTAACTCTCTTTCTCTCTTTGAGACATTAATCCAGAGACAAAGATCCACAAGTTCTTTTCTGGTCTCTATCACATGATTGTTTGGGCTGCTTCCCCCTCTAGCAACAGTACTGTCCTCAGATTCTCAGGGTCTACTGTACTTTTCACTGTTCTTTTCCCCAGCTGGATGACTGAATTTCCTGGTTTCAGCCCCTGGACCCTGAACTCAAATGTACATGTTTCCCATGCCCTTTGTCCTCATTTATTACTCTACTCCCTGGCCAAATCCTCTCCAAATTCACCCACCTCACCCTCCCAATTCTATCTCCGTGAGGCTGGCTTCTTCATTAAGTCACACACATCTCCCTCTCTCTCGTTCTGAGCAGTTCCCTTCACCCATCTTGCAGACTCTCTTCCTGGTTTGTCCTTTCCTTGGTAGCTCTCTTCCACCACAACTCTGACATCTCTCCATCCTTGGCACCCAAGAAATTGTCCCAATTGGCCTGTACCCCAGGCATTCTACAGATAATCCCCTATCTTCTGGGTCTCTTTCTCCTTCAGACTGAGTGTTTCTGCTTCAGGATCCCTTCCTGACCATCACCAGATGTCCCGATCTGTCGGTTTGACTAGGTACCCGGATGTGCCCTCCTCCTGCTGTCCTACCCCGTGTTTCTCTGGTCCCCTCCCACAACACTCAGCATCTGGTCCACCGGCCTGGCTCCACACCTTGCGGTCGATGCAGACCGTAAAGACGCGTCCATCGCGCAAGGGCTCCCGACTCAAAACCAAGCCGTGGTTAAACTCCTGGCCTGGCTGCTGCCGCCGCGCTGTACGCCCACAGGCCGACAGGCTCACCAAGCGCCCGGTGCGTGGGTGCAGCTCCCCGCCGCAGCCAAGACCCCCAGTGGACCCCGGTCCTGGGCCACTACCTCCGGGGCCCCCACCCCCGCCCGGCCCCGGCCCGGGGCCTCCCCCAGAACCCCCATTCCCACCCGACCCCGCCGCCATCGCCGCTGACACAGGGGCCGCGCGACAGCCGCGCTTGGCGGCACCGTGGCAACCGCGGTGGACCGACACCCTGAGGGAATAGAACCAGATATGCTTTACGGCACTGCCGGGCAATGAAGCGTCCCGGGCTAGAGAGCTAATGACTACCACGGTAGGAACGGAAGGACGACGCGGTCGGGCAGTTCTGCTTTACGGCACGGTGGAGTAACGGAATGGCTTTGAGCCGAGCCAAGACTTGAGGGAACTTTTGCGACAGTGGAAGGAGGCAACGATGCCGCAGGCATCTTTACGACGAAGGGGTGCTGGCGCTCTTACATTTTCAGCTTTGCGACAGTGGTACCAACGACCCTGCCCTCGTCGAGGGAGGTGTTATCTTTAAGTACTCGTTTTACGGCAAGAGGAGGTTTCTTCACGCTACCCGTTTTAGAACGGTGTGAACGGAATCTGGAGAGGCTGGGGTGAGAAAGTGGTAGCTTTGTAAATGAAAACTCCTGCCCTCCACGCCACCGAGTCTGGAAACGACTTGCGATAGTGTCTCAATCCCTCCACTTTGTCTCACGCCTCTTGAGAGAGGCAGCTTTTGGAAAGACATCAAAAGGTCGCAGGTGTTTGAAACTAATTGAACTCAAATCTTAGATTATAAAAAACACGAATAAAGAGGCCAAAGGGACGCCGGTAGGCAGTTGCAAGCAATGGCACAGATGTTTCCCAAAGATCCCGCAGAGTTTCCCACCAGCCCAACTCCAACTCTCCCATCCTTGCACTACATCTAGGGTCTGTGATGTCACAATTACGGTTTATTGTTCCCTGGCTATGATTGGCTAAGTCGGATAAGGGCAGTCAAGGGGAAGAAGGGCGGGAACACATCCCAGAGACAAAGAAAGAAGGTCTTTGGGTGGAATAGAAAGGGAGGGGCGAATAGAGGGGCCTCCCTATCGAGGGTCTAGATAACGCCCTCAGAGGCTTCAGGGAGCAAAAGAGGCGGGGACCAGGACTTTAGATTAAGTACCCCTCTCCGCCCTCGTAATGGGGGCGGGGCCTAGGGGCGGGGCTATGTGGAACCGAGAGGCGGGGCCTGGGTAATAGTGGGCCCCTAAGAGGGGGTGGGATGCGTTCATGGAGAAGCCCGAGTCTCCAGGGGCCGCTGGCGGCTTCAATGGGGAATCCCCTGGAGTAGCAACCAGGGGATTGCCCAGAGGCATCAGAGGAGTGGAGGCAGGCGCTGGGTTGCCCTCCGGAGTAATCCTACTTCAAGGTTCTGGCCCCTCCTTACATCCCGGAGGAGTAACAGTTCGCAGTCCTGGTTCCAGCCGGTCTCCCGGGGGGGTCGTGGTCCTCGGTTCGGGGCCTAACCAGCACCTTGGGGCCGGTGTGGGCCACAGCATTGGATCTGGCACATACCCTGATGGATTCAATACTCCCGGGCCTGGAACCAGCGTATCAGGGGCATCCAGCCCCCAGCTCGGGGGAACTGGGGTGTACAATTTAGGGAGCAGTCCTCATTCTGAGCCACCTTGCCCACATTCTTTTAACTCCTTTGAGGATTGGCCACGGGGCATCCTCAGAAACAACAGCTCCATCTTGGTGCAGAACAGCCCCAGTGCAGAGAAGTAAGGGACGGAAGCAACACGGCTTACAGGCAGTCCCAAACCTGGAAGGAGGGGTTCCTGACACCGGATGAGGGGGCGGAGCCAGGAGGGGAGGGGCGAGGTCCTGAGACCTAGGTGTGAAAACAGGTAAAGAGCAATTGGGTGGGAAATGTGACATTCTGGACCTTTCTGGAGAGTAGCATGGACCGGTTATCATTGGATCTGACCAACCCCCCCAAACTTTTGCCCACATCATGCTTGGAACTACAAGGGGGTGCAAGAAAGGTTTTTCTGAGTGAAAGAGTTGTGAGAACATTTCTTTCCCATTTTTCTGTGTTCTACTCTGCCTGCCTTCCCCTCACCCCAACACTTGTCACTCTTGACCAGAAAAAAGTCTCTACACTGGGATGAGATGAATATCCTGGCCACATACCACCCTACTGAAAAGGACTATGGATTTATGAAGGTGGACGAGCCCGCCACTCCCTACCACAGGTGCTGAGCCCTCAGCCTTACCTCCTCTTCAGGGAAGGGAGGAGTGGAGAGGCAAAGAGGCCTCAAGGACTGGCTGCTCTAAGGCCAGCCTCCCTATATGGCTCTCTGCTCCTCCTCAGGCTGCAGGACAGCAATGAGGACCTATCCCCAGGATCTTCCCACATGGTGACTCCTGAGATGCTGACAGAGAGGTGAGAGTTCTTAAAGAGATCACTAGGGGTATGGGACCTTTTCCTCCCTTCCCCTCTTAACTCTGGAATCTATTGGGTCCCAAAGTGAGAGGTGCTACAGTTTCCATCAGGCCTGACCAAGAGTCCTATGGGGGTTCTGTCAGCCTGGCCCTATTCATCATCTGCCCTCATTGTTCTTCAGTGCTCCCAACTAGTATCCTTTCCCTTCAGGTTTGCAACAGTGGACAATTTCTGCCCAAAGGTTCTCCAGTATGGTGATAACAGAAGCTCAGGGTCTCCAGATACCTTTTCCAAGACACGTGAGATAAGGGGTTGGAGGCTGAATGGGAAGAAAAAACCGAGGGAGCCTTTGGTAAGAGCTGGCAGGAAAGCTGAGCTCTCTCACTGGTTCACAGACTCCAGTGACTTTGACAAGCGCCGCAAGGCCCACTATGATGAAGGGAAGTTCCTCAAGACTCAGAAAGTCTTGTCCTTGGATGATGATGAGGACAACAGTGCGGGTACTGCAAGTATCAGCGGTGACAGTCCAGGTGTAATGTTGGACCCAGAACCCAGGCCTGTGGAGAGAGGCTGGGCAGGAGGATTGCCCAGAGGAATCAAAGATGAAGCTGGCCTGGTGGCCAGGAATCACATCCTGGAAGGCAAGGGTTAACTATGCTGGGAAGTAGCAGGGGGAGGTCCCTGGAATTCAAGGTGGCTGTAGTGCAGAGCCAATTCCTCTCTACCCCACCATAATCCCAATTTTCCCAGTGGGTATCAGACCCAGGGCCCTGCTCCCTGAGGGGGAGCTAATGCTGGGAGGCAACCCCATGGTGGACAGAGAATAGCTGTAGTGGAGTCCCTGCTGAGGACAAAATATCCAGGGAAGACTGACTGGTGAGGAGGAATGAAAATCCAAGCAAATACAGAGGGCTAGAGAGGTCACTGACCACCACTAGTCTGTCAGTTTGTTGTACTGTGGTGGCTTGTGAGTTGCTGTGATTCTGAAAGCGATGCCACCGGTATTTTAAATACCAGCAGGGTCACCCATGGTGGACAGGTTTCAGATGAGCTTCCAGACAAAGACAGACTAGGAAGAAGGAGTAACAAATTACTTCTGAATATTTTAGTCAATGAAAACCTTATGAATAGCAGAGAAACACTGTCAGATATAGTACTGGAAAACGAGCCCCTCGGGTTGGAAGACACTCAAAATGCGACTGGGGAAGAGCTGTCCCTTCAAAGTAGAGTTGACTGTGATAAAGCGAATGGAGTAAAGCCCGTGGGAGAAAAGCCCGCAGGACCTTCATTTGCTGATGGGGCACAACTCAAAATGAAGAGAAACAGCTGTAAACATCCATTGAAAATCAGTACATGGAATATACAAAGTATGAATCTGGGAAAATTTGAAGTTGTCAAAAATGAAATGGAATGCATAAACATCGATATCTTAGGCATTAGTGAGCTGCAATGGACTGGCATTGACCATTTTGAATATGAAAACCACTTGGTTTACTATGCCTGGAATGACAAATCGAAGAGGAATGGTATTGCCATCACTGTCAAAAAGAACATATCCAGATCAGTCATGAGATACAACGCTGTCTGTGATAGGATAATATCCATGCACCTACAGGGAAGCCCAGTTAATACCACTATTATTCAAATTTATGCACCAACTGCTAAAGCCAGT